GGCCATACTCTCGGGGTTTCTCCAGTCTCCTTTAGGCCAGTAAATCTGGTCTTTTTTTTTGTTAGAATTATGTTCTACATCCTTCTCCAGCTCTGTCCAGAACCCTGTGTTGTGATCCTGCTGACCCCAGGACTTTTGATCCTGCCTTTTTTGGACAGTCTTGACTCTCATGAAGGAGACTCCATGTCCCCTCCACCTTTTATGGACTACGCAGTAAAGGTGCAGTTGGTCTTACATCTTCATTTCTCAGCTAGTCTGTTGCTGTTGGTACCTGCTGTCAAGTTGGCCCCCAACTCATACCAACCCCATGCATGATGGAATGGAACGCTGCCCGGTCCTGTGCCATTCCCACAATAGGTTGCAGATTGGACCATTGTGATCCATAGGGTTTTCATTGGCTGAGTTTCAGAAGTAGATTGCCAGGCCTTCCTTCCTAGTCTTAGTCTGGAAGCTCCGCTGAAAGCTGTTCAGCATCACAGCAACACACAAGCCTCCAGTGACAGACGGGTGGTGGCTGCACATGAGATGCATTGTCTGCAGGTCCACAAGCAGGCAGTTCTGCCCAGCAGTGCACGCTGGAACCACCTCCTGGGTTTCTGGATTAAAGCATCTCAGGGCATGGCATCTCCTTGGCATATCTGGGCGGAGTGAGACAGGGAGTTAGGGGTCCCCTTCCCAGCAGATGAGATGGACCTGAGCTTCCTCATCACCCAGGCTTTCCAGATGCTCTCTTTGCAATGCATCCTTTGCAGACACCATCAGTCTCCAAAATCCTGAGACTGTGGAACTGGGTGCGCTCCAGCAATCCAAGGCAACAGCAGAAATGCTCCTTGGCGATCCCTTTGCTCTTCGTAAAATCATCTCTATGTAAATTTCCCGTCTTAGTTTCTTAGTGCTGCTATAACAGAAATACCACAAGTGGGTGGCTTTAAAGAACAGAAATGTATTTTCTCACAGTTTTGGAGGCTAAAAAAAAAACCCATTGGAGGCTAGACATCTGAATTCAGGCCCTGGCTCCAGAGTAAGGCTTACTCTCTACTGGCTCTTGGGTAAGATCCTCGTTTCAGCTTCTGCAGGCCCCGCATTCCTGGGCTCCTTGGCATCTAGCCCCCCTTCATCTGTGCTTGTCCCTGTGTCTAATCTGCTTTTTACAACTCAAAAGTCATTATTAGGTGTAGGCCTCATTAACCTAACAAAGAAAACCCTACTCCCGAACAGATTACATCCACAGGTACTGTATAGGGATTAGGATTCCAAGACATATTTTGGGGCGACTTAATTCAATCCAGAACAACCCCTAAATTCAGGATTCTTTAAAACAAGTCATCTCCTATGTATTAACAGCTTGATAAAGAAACGTAGTTTTTAATTGGGGGAAAAACAGCAGACTGAAATAGGTATCTTTGTACAGATTCTTTTTATTTAGATTTTTAAAAGTATATATATAAGCAATTGGCCAACACAGAAAACCAGCCTGGCTGCTCCAAAATATCTATAAAAGGTGGTGATAATAACCGAGGGTGGCACACCTCCCGCAGGGCGGGTGAAGTCATGACATCGACCGGGACAGCATCTCCACGCAGATACGATTTCAGACGTGCACTAATGAGCAATGTGCTGGGAGGAGAGTATAAACTTTCATTGACGCTATAAATATGAAGAGACGTTAAACAAATGATAACTTTGATAGGTACAATATTGGCTTCACTCTGTACAGCAATATACAATAGAAAATGGATTTACTTCTTTTAGGGTATCAGATTTGGCCAAGAACATAGCAAATATGTCACTATATTGACAGATATGCAACTATGGAAATTGGCAAAGAAATAACGTCGGCAGAGAGGATGAACCCTCCTCCCAGCAACAGATCTTTTGGTTTCACGTGAATCCTTAACCTTTCAGATGTGACCTCTTGAAAACAAACCTACGTCACAAAGGACTCACTCCAAAATGTTTTACTGAAATTCTCTTCCAATCACACATGAAGGACTTGCCCTTATGACCCCATTTTCCAAAACAATTCTGAAACAGCAAGAGGAAAAGAATCACATGAAAATGTGGTACTCCTCAAGACGACGTTTTCAAACACAGCTTGCGCCTTTACAAAGAAGGGCTAGCCCACTACAGAGCACAGAAGAGAGTCTTTCCATTTTGTAGCTGATAAATCAGGTGCCATAATTGAGTCTTGAGGCAGTGGCAACGCTAACTGTGAGGATTCTGGCACAAGAGTCAGAAGTTATGCTCCACAGTCATATCTCAAATCCTGAAGGAGAACAACTATACCGAAGAGATATCTTATCTACCTGCTCAGCTTTACCAGGGCCCCCAGACAACACTATGGCTTTAGAAACAAATCTATTTCACAAGGAAATCACACCAAAATGTTTTACTGACATCTCTGTCCAATAGAACCAGCCTAGAAGAAAGCATTGGGGGTACTTGTCAACACGCAGGAGGCTTTCTGAAGAGGTAGATGAAAGCAGCATTTCACAGCGAATTTGCTGTCAGATGTTACAAAAAAAAACAGTGCATCTGCCGCTTGGCACAGACCGGAAGATATGCTGGGGGTGATACAGTCCACGGTAGTGAGAAGAGATGTCTGCCCACATTGCTGTACCCACTATTTCATTTTTATTTTCTGAAAAACAGAAAGGACTGCCATTTTTTTAAATAACAGACTATACAAATAAAAAGGAGCTGAAATGATTACAGAATGTTTCTGTTGCAAACAAACTTATGGATTCAATAAATAATATAAAATGCTCTTGTGCTAAAATAGAACTCTTGTTTTATATATATATATATGTAGCTCAGCAATCTTTGTTACCCAGAAAAAGCCAACTCTATTATAATCAGTTAAAACATAGAAAAATGCAATTTAACAATAGAATTAAAAACAGCCAGTGTTTAGTTTGTAAACCACATAGAATATGTACATCATGGAATATAATCAACAAAGAAACAAAAAAATTAAATTTCAAGTCCTTTTGCAACATGAATACACAGTTGGAAATATTTCTCCATTCCCTACCCTTACATCAAAGACATCTGAGATTTAGGACAGAACCAAAAATGGGAACATATTTGCCAGTTTTCAGCCATTTTTTTAAAGTATATGATTCTCAGACTGTTAGATATAGAAGAGTTAACTCTACTATATGAATATGAGTTACTTTAAAATGTAGTTCAAAATTCTTTTTCTCTGTGCTTGATGAGATGCATATATTGCTAACCGATTTTCTGTATGTTTTTTTTTTAAAGGAAGGTAATTTAAAATTTGGGTTGCTACATTTATCCAACCACGTTAACACAGCCACATCAGGAATGTGGCCCCAGAGCCAGCAAAGTGGCTGCCATTTGTATCCCCCAGGCCTTTGGGTGGGCAAGCCTGTTATTTTGTCGTAGAAGTTGAGGACAAAGAAAAATCTAAAATCCATTATGACTTGAGCAAACATATGAGTATCATATCAGAGTTCAACTTTCATTAATTTTACAATTAAAATTTTTTTTCAATAAAAATGTTTTAAATGTGGCCTTGATTAAAAAATTCATTGTAACATGAATTTAAGTAATTAATTAGTTCAAGCCTCTCCAGCAAATCTTACATGGGAGGGGAAATCATATTGGATCTTCAGAAAAATAAAATTTTTTTTTAAAAATTTAACTTCTTCAGGCTCACTCTAGAAACATGAATGGCATACAGCGTAAAGCTGAGGCTTGTTATTCTGGTGGTTTTAGACGAACTTTAAGGGAATCATAACGATGCCTGCAGCTGATCAACCGGGCAAGTCGCTGACAGAAACCCAGATCCCACCTCCAGGTCTTCACGCGTCTGCAGGAAGGGCCTGCGCTGAACACAAAGACGGCTGACAGAGGCCGCCAAGGGTGCCTCTGCTCTGGGCCCATGAGCGCATTCACCTGAGAGGCGCCCAGACGACAGGCAGCAGCAACTTGATGTCTACAGAAAGTCCTAACGGAAAGCAAAAGCCGCCTAAGAAGTACAGCTGCTCCACAATCAAAAAGAAAGTAACCAAATAGTAAAATGAATTATTATTCAACTATGCTGTTATAAAGGAGCCGTGGTGGTGCAGTGGTTAAGTGCTCAGCTGCTAACTGATAGGTCAGCCGTTCGAACCCACCAGCCGCTCTGTGGGAGAAGAGACCTGGTGATCTGCTACCGTAAAGATTACAGCCTACAAAACAGTATGCGGCAGTGGTACTCTGTTACATTGGGTCGGTATGAGTTGGAATCGACTCGATGGCACCCAGCAACAACACTGTTATGGGGGGGGGGGAACCACCAACATTAACTCAGTCATTTCCTTGGTGCTTTACGGTGTAAAGGGCTGATTTTGATCAGCACATTAACTCCTTTCTTCCTTTGCCTCATTTCTACCACTATCCTTCTCTCTGTGACACACACCTCACCCACCCCTAATGCCTCACCAACTCCCAGCCACCAACCTGTCAAGACTAAATCCCCTCTAGGTACCTAGGTACAAGCAACTAAGTCAATGCATCATGCAGGGTGGGAAGGCTCATTTGGCAAGTATCTCTGAATGACACACAAACATTTCCCTGAACATAACTGAGAAAAAAAGAATTATGTATGATTAAATCATACAAAAGAAATCTTATCTTACACTGGCACATTTCAAAGTACTTTTACAGATTCACAGCATCTGAAAGAGGTCAGTGGAACTTTGAGAATTTCACTGTCTTCCTGGTATGTTAAAATTTCAAGACATTTCTCAGAAAAATCAATTCCGCCAAAAGGTGGAACTGGCCCAAACACAAACTTTGAGTAAAAAAAAAAAAAAAAAAGATCATCATCGAAAACAAACACATATGCCCATGTGTGCTCACACACACATACTATGATTTTTAAAACAAGTTAAATTCTGTTGCTAATTGGTAAACAATATTTGATAATGGCCAGCAGGGCCTTAAAATACTAATTTCTAATGTCTGTATGGCATATCTCAAACCACTAAACGGAGCTACACCTTGTTTAAAAATTAGATGGTTATTTGTTGCTGTTTTTCTTGAGGGGAATGCATCCTTCCCTCCGCGTGCCTTGACATTTGGCCCTATTTTTATATACAGGATTTGAAAATGTAATGTCAGTGAACCACCAATCAGAGGCATGGGTACTTTGCATTAAACGTGAAAACAACAGCAACATTCTAGAAGTTTTGCTGAAAAATCATACTTAAACATGAAAAAGGAAAAAACGAGGAGCCCAGATGATGAGATAAATGCACCACAGAGGATGTCTGAGGTTCAAAATAATAACCTTGGGTCCACAAATGTTTCAATTTATTCCATATTATGTTATATAGCAGCTTAAAGTAATTCATTATTTTTACGTTTTGCTTTATTGATTTCTTTGAATTGTGAAATCAAGACTTCTTCTAGCATAATTTTATAAATATAACAGAAACCTCAATTATCTTCATTGACAATGTTAAAATATCCTAAGCATACAAAGCTAAGACATGAGAAAACTTGTGCTGAATTTTGTCCTTTGTAAACGGTCCAAATGTAGGAAGGGTCAAGCATCTAGGAATCATGTAACACTCTTAGAACCTTCTGAGACAGCTAAGTGCACAAAGACTGACTTCTCCTTGGCCGGCATTGGTTCTCGTGGCAGAAACACTTGCTCCATCAGAGGGCTGCGGGCCTGAGTCCAAAGGGAAGGCTCACCTCTCCAGGACTACCCAGACCCCAGCAGGACTTGTGGCTGCCCCAAGTAGCTTATCCCAAGCTCACAATGTACAGTACTATTAATCAATTGCATCTAGGTGAATTTCTCAACCACGTCACTATAAACAAAGTGTAGTGGGGCAAGTGGAAGAGTTTAGTTGGAGTAAATGTGAGGCAAAGGGGCTTTCAGGATATGTTCCAGTTCGTATTTCTTTCGTAAAAGAGAGATTAACCTTATGTTCCACTCCACAGCAAAAATGTTATTTTTGAAGAGATGCACACTGGCTCAATTTTACAGAAGTGTGGAAGACAGCTCGCTCCTGGAAGTTTAATCATCTTTCTGGACACTCTGGCATTGCTGATTGTTGTTGCTGTTGGGTGCCTTGAGTCAATTTTTGACCCATAGTGACCCCGTGTGACAGAAGAACTGCCCCATTGGGTTTTCCTGGCTGTAATGTAATCTTTACAGGAGTAGATTGTCAGGTCTTTCTCCCAAGGAGCCGCTGGGTGGGTCTGAACCACCGAACTTTTGATTAGCAGCCAAGTGCTTAACCGTTGAGCCACCAGGGCTCCAGAGCTGACAGGTATGAGATATGAGACGCTGAGCGCAGCCTGTGATGGGGTCAGGGCACCTTCTCCACCTGAGACCCTCTCCCCTGTCCAGTGGAGGTCTGAGGCCCTGCAATTTCTATACAACTGTAAATGCTGAGCACAGGTTAGCTGGGATGGAGACAGTAACAGTCACAGCTACAATTAACAACACCAAAGAAGATGCCCATTCTTTAAAAGGAACAACTGCTTTTCTCTTTCTGTTTTGTTGCTGTTGGTTGCTGCTACTGTTTTTACAGAATATGAACACTATCCTCTCCTATTAAATGAGGGAAGTGCATGTAAATAGTACATCCCTCCTCCCATACTGGAAATGGCAGAACATGTATGTTAATTTAAACCCCAGCTGGTAGTTGAGACCAGATAGTGAACCTCAAAATTTCTTCTCCAAAGTTACTTCTATGAAATAATAGACTCTTTCTGTAAATTATATTCCAAACTCACAAAATACAATTTCATTAAAAAGTACTTACTTTCCCAATGGACACAACACACGAATAAAAACCAAAGATTTGGAACCACTAAAAATATCGAGGACAGATGCAGATAATTATGATGTCACGTTATTTATGTTGTTAGTAGTTAACTTAGAGACATACAACAAAACTGCACCAAGAATAGGAACAGTATGTGACTTTTTAAATTATTATTGTTTTTAGTCCAATGACATGGGGGACTTTGCTGGGAAAATACGCTGGTTCTGATAACACAGCGGTATCTGGGACATGAAAAGGGCATGGAAGCCAAGGGGAAAACAAACCGTGTGGGTGGGGAGGGGGGCTGCTGGGATCAGGCAAAAAGCCACTACGCTCCAATGCTCTCACCATCATAGACCAACTGAGTGCAAAGTATCATTCACGAATGGCAGATGAGTGACAACAGAAAGGTCGATACACACAATAAACACTTAACCCATTTTGATACATTCATTCATCAGCATTCTTTTTGCAATAAAAATTCATTTTCAAATATCCTAAAAATGTAAAACAGAGCAATTCCTTTCCTTCTTTTTCATATCCATTATTGATGTGTTCCCAGAGGTCAGCAGAAGGAACCAGAACTCCTGTGTCATGCAAGTGCTTCTTGTGGAAACCCAAAAGACAGACTCACCCACAAGCACCCATCTGCCCCAGGACCCTTGAAGGTGCTGTTGGCTTACCTGAGCAACCTGGATTTGAAAAGTATGGAAATTGCCATTGCCCTGACATTTAAAACCCCACTACCTCCCATTCAGAATCCCCGTGAACCTTCCCAATGGTCTACTGCTAAACGCCTGAAATTATTAATTTATACCATAACCTTTGAGGCCCTGTATCTTTGTTTTCATCCAATAGAGAGTTCCTGGGCATACATGTGTCAGAGGCAGGGCACACAGTACACGCATGGGTACAATGCACAGGTGAAGGGCCCAAGTTCAACACTCTCAGAAAATATCTTCAACTTTCAACCCCGGGGCAGTAAGAAGTCAGGTCTGAAGTGCACAAAAGAACCACAGGTACTGTGGCTCTCCCAACCCCCAGTAGCCTGGGGCAAAGACACAGACTCAGCAGTGATGGTTTCTAGATAAAACGCGGGGACACTAGGGTAGACTGTTAGCCACCACTGAAAATATTTAAAGTCCATCTTGGAAAGTCTAAGATATGTATGATATCAGACATAAAAATTTAAGTGGTAAGTAGGAATCATTTCAAGTTCTTGGTTCAGTATATACCAAAATAAGCGTGTAGCAAAGAGAAACAACCTTCCTTTCTTCAGTAGTTTTTGAGTGTGGACAGGTAGGATCGCGCGGGAGGCAATCAGGCGGGGTGGGAAGGCGACCCCCAGGCCTGAGGTGGTCATGGCTCCTATTAGGAGCATCTTGGCATCTTGAGTCTCCCCAGGCATGGAAGAACCCCAGCAATAAGTAAATTAAATGTCTAATCCTCATACTATTCCAAAAAGCTCCGGAAACACCCAGGTCAGAGCTTCCCCGAGGCACAGTCTTCTCGGGACCCTCCCCGCTCCTGGGTGTTAAAGGCCATTGCTGTTTCTGTGACACAGCGGTGGCTTTGACAGCTCCACCACAGCAGATCGAGGTTTGTTGAGGAACTTCGGAGCTCGGCGCAATAACCTCTGGGCCTCCGTAAAGGTTTCTATCAACTCCTTTTTCCACTGTACAAACTCTGGATCACTCTGAGCAGAAAGACAAATGTAGAAATGGTGACAAGTTCGTCCATTCTGCCCACAAATGTGGGTGCTTCTCAAAAGTATCAATGTTCTTGGAACATAAGATAAGTTCTACTGAAAGCATGCCCTATTATTCCACCCCATGGAAGGAGTCCTGTGGCGCAATGGTTAAGTGCTTGGCTGCTAACTGAAAGGTTGGCATCTGAACCCACCTCGCAGCTCCATGGGAGAAAATACTTGGTGATATACTCCCATAAAGATTACAGCCTAGAAAACCTTATGGGCAGTTCTACTCTGTCACACGGAGTTGCTATGAGTTGGAATCATCTTGATGGCACCCAACAACAGCAGCAGCAGCATCACTAACCGCTGGGTCATACTGAGACTTTTCCCAGAGTCTCCTTGCTAAGACAAGGGAAAGGCCGTATTAAAACCCTTCATATGATTCTCATACAACCCCACTGTGAGAACCACTGCCTTTAATTTATTTAGACACTACCTTTGATTTCTAAAACAAATGAAGTGTATAAAAGAATATGAACCCTCTATAAAAGATCTTCACTGATTAGAAACAACAACAATAAAACCCACTGCTGTTGAGCTGACTTCAACTCAGGAATGCCCCATGTGTTACAGAGTAGAACTGCTCTGTAGGGTTTTCTTGGCTATAATCTTTTTTTTTTTTAATTTTATTGTGATTTAGGTGAAAGATTATAGCACAAATTACTCATTCAAAAATTTATACACAAGTAGTTTTGTGACATTGGTTGTAATCCCTGCAATGCATCAGCACTCTCCCCCTTTCCCTCCACACCCCAGGTCCCCGTGTCCATTCATCCAGGTTCCCTGTCCTTTCCTGCCTTCCTGTCTTTGCATTTGAGCAGATGTTGCCCATTTGGTCTCGTATGTTTGACTGAACTAAGAAGTACGTTCCTCACTTGTGTAATTGTTTGTTTTATAGACCTGTCTAATCTTTAGCTGAAAGGGAGACTTTGGGAGTGGCTTCAGTTCTGAGTTAGCAGGGTGTCCTGGGCTCACAGTTTCAGGGGTTCCTCCATTTTCTGTCAGACCAGTAAGTCTAGTCTCTTCTTGAGAATTTGAATTTTGTTCTACAATTTTTCTCCCACTCCATCCAGGACCCTCTATTGTGGTCCCTGTCGGAGTCTTGGCTGTAATCTTTATGGAAGCAGACCACCAGGCCTTTCTTCTGTGGCACCAGTGGGTAGTTTAGAACTGCTAACTTTTAGGTTAGCAAAGCAGCACAAACCATTTGCACCACCCAGGGGCTTCCCTCTATAAAGGATCCTCGCCGATATGACAAGTATTATGGATATAATACATGAGGAGGAGTTTTGACAAATTAAAAAGCACCTTGACATGTGCAAGGTAGTTATGAAGTTATTAAGCACACGTTTTTGTATCTACTACTGGTTTATTGCTCTTAATATGCCCTCCTAACACACACACACACCCCAACAGAAAAAGCATCCAGGAATTAAATCAGCAAAATCTCAGGCTACAATACAACTTTGGGGAAAAGAAGGCATTTCCCTCTGGAGAAGTCACTTTGGTATCTCATGTTTATTTAAACATACAAACCTCCATCTCAAACATGCTGAAAGGTAAGATCTGAAAAGTTATGGAACAAACAAAATTCCAAGTCCCTCTAAAATACTGGACAGTTTCCAGACAAGGGTAATCAATTATTTCAAATTACTAATCAAATTATTCCCGCCATTTTCAAATACTTGTTTCTTTAAAAATAACTTAATTTGCTGAAAACCTAATATTTTGGGGCTTTCTTGCTAAGTATGTAAGTGATAAAGCACAGAGAAAGAAAATGTGTTATAACCAGGTAGCCATCTTTACTGAACTTTTATATAATTGTTCTAACTTCCATCTGAGAGGAAAGAAATAAGAACTCACCTCACACTGCAAGACAAATTGCTTTGCTCCTTTTATCCTTAGCAAAATGCATTTCTTGTCTTTAATCTGAGTTTCTTCCACAGATACAATCTGTTCCATTGTCAGTAAATTTTGCTAACCATAAAAATAAAAACTATGAGTTAACTTCAAATTCTTTCATGATTGTTTAATTTAAATTTAAAAATAATACCAAAAACTACCAGCTTAGAACAAGTAAAAAAAAAAACCACTGCATTTTTTTTTCTTTCTTTGATGATATTCTAGAATTGGTGAGAGAACACCTACAAAGGAACATAGACAGAAGTTCAAATTATAATATCTCAAAAAATCAACTGCAAAGAAAATCAACAGGCAAAACAGCAAAGCTGTTCCCTCAATACAGAATTCATTTCTTAATATCATGAATCATAAGTATACTTTTTTGTGTCACATGTTCTAAATGCTATCAATAAAGTTGTGAGGGAATAATGAAGCAGTGCATATGATTCACATGAGCAAAAGGTATGTAGGTTAGTTTTCACAAAGCAATTCAGTAAATATTTGGTCATATTAGTGTGCAGGCTAACAGTATTTTGATAATATCAAAATGATTTTACAAATACAGGTGACATCCTGTGAAGATTGTCACACCGGGCCTATAGCATTATTGCTTAGGGTGAATGCTGTAGTATCATGATTACCTTACACCATTTTATGTTTTTTTGGATAAATACTCCAGGAATCCTAAATGAAAAACAACACCATCATAAACTCCCATGTTTTCGTTGCTCTTTTATACTTAAGAATCCAGCCACGCATATTATGCAGCTTCTCAAACAGAACACTATAGGTTGAATCTGTTAAAACCTAGATAATTTATTGCATCAGATGCTAATCAAAGAAAAAAAAATTCCCCCTTACGACCCATTAAACCACAAAAAACCAAACCCATTGCTGTTGAGTCGATTATGACTCATAGTGACCCTATAGGACAGAGTAGAACTGCCCCATAGGGTTTCCAAGGAGCAGCTGGTAGATTCAAACTGCCGAGCTTTTGGTTAGTAGCCGAACTCTTAATCACTACACCGCCAGAATCTCTTATATCCTGAAAAGTGGGACAATTTCCTTTCAATGTGCACAATAGTGATTTAGTAGTATGTAGCTTAACAGCTGTGTGGTAGACCCAAGTCTGCTCATTATCTGGACACAGACTGAGCTTTGAGGAGCTACTTTCATATTTACTAGCACCTGAGTTATAATTCGGGGCCCCCAAAGAGTCTCATTAATTGGAACTCAAATCTTAGATGTATAACTTAAAAAAAAAACAAAAAAAACAAAACAACAAAAACACTAGTAAGAGTGATGAGATCCAGTTATTTTTAAAGAAACATGGTAATATGCCATTGCAATCACTCACTGCTGAGTGGTAACTTCAAAAGGGATTAAAAAAACACATTCCGAGTCAAATACACAATATTTGGGCCCACTACTTACCACACATCTGCAAACACTGGAGAACCAATGGTTAGTGTTCCAACACAGAGACTATGTTTTAACCATTTGGGACCATTGTCCTGCTTAGGATGACTAACCTCCTACACTTCCCCCAATAGCAGAAAACATGCTTTCCACCATGGGGGCTCCTCACACAGTAGGTGCTTAATAAATGCTGCCTGATTTGCTGAAAGGGACAGTAGGGAATCAGAAATTTCTTTTTATTTTGGTCACAAACATTAGCTCTCAAAAGAGCAGCTACATCTTCCTGTCTAATGTATGAAATCAACCTATAAAGTATCCAACGAGGTGGAGACAAAAGAAGGTGATGTTTGGGGACTTCACCTCAGTGCCAGAATCATAGCTCTGTGCCACTTACCTCAACTTATTTGACCCAACCAGGGGAGGTCATGTAACAGGGAGACTCATGTAACAGGGAACTGAGAGTACAGACCAACCTGGGTCTGAATCACCCATCACCTTACAACTGACCAGCGGGCTGACCTGCTTCCTCTTTATAAAACGGGGGTCAGACCCTCAAGGGTTGCTGAACAGACCAAATAATTATTTTACAGCACCTGGCATATGTGAAACATGTAAAAATTACAGAGTAGTTACTCTGATTTCTATTCAGGTCACATTTCTCTCCTTTTACAGATGAGGAAACTGAGGCTCAGAGCATCAACATAATGTGCTCAGAATCTCAGACACTGAGCAGTAGATTCAAATATTTCTGTCTGATCCCAAGTCTCAGGTTGTTTTTTTTTTTTGGTTTGTGATCTACCTACCCAACTGCTTTCCAGCCTTCTCCAACTCATCTGGCAATGTGGTGCTTGTGGCCTCATGAAAAAGCAACGTTCCATCTTCAGATATTACAAAGGTCTTCCTTGGTTTATACATTAAGGTGTGAATGTTAAAATCTCACGTATCCAGAGTAAAATGGTTACACAGTTCAGGAGGGTATTTCATAAGACACACCAGCAGTATGAAGGAACCGTATGACACAGGACATAATGAAAGGAAGTGCTTAGTGAGACTGCGTCCAACTCACCCGAGACTCGCCCTCTCCTCTCCACTCAAGTCTATTTGGGAAGAGGTAGAAGTATCGCCGCTGCCACTGAGTCAGAAATGGGTTTCCCAATTTCAACATGTATCCATGCATAATACAGTCTTTTCCCAGTGCATAATCTAAGGAGTAAAAAAGGAACTATAAATTAAATAGGTTCTGAAACAGAAATGTCTTAGTCATACCAGTCTCAGGAAAACAAAACAAAAGAATTGCATGTTTGTTGGAAAAATCTTGTTCCTAGAAATACAACATATTACAGAGCTCATTATTTCTGTTTTAAACACATCTGATCTGGGATTCTTAAGAACAGAGGTTTCTTCAGTTCTGTCTCTCAAAAAAAAAAAAAAAAAAAAATACATACAGTAGATCTCCTTGGAGCCCACTAACACTTAAATCCTTTAATCTCTTCATCTTTAAAAAATACACTGCTGTTGAGTCAATTCCGACTCATAGCGGCCCTAAAGGACAGAGTAGAACTGCCCCATAGGGTTTCTGAGGCTGTAATCTTTACGGAAGCAGACTGCCACATCTTTCTCCTGTGGAACAGCTGATGAGTTCCAACTGACAACCTTTTGGTTAGCAGCCGAGCTCTTAACCACTGTGCCACCAGGGCTCCTGTTCTGTCTCTACTAACATACTAATGGTTGCTTCACAATATACTGATACATTTGAGATGGTCCTTATTGCTCTGAACAGGCAAGAGTTTGTTCCCAAACTATTTTTTCATTGTGAATAATGAGAATTGGAGAAGAGGGAACATTTAAATTCAAGCTATTCCCAAAATACCTTTGTCTTTATCTGGGGTTGGGATTCTCCCTTTAATCATCTACCTTTTATCTTATAAATAATAATCAAGTAGGAATTTTCTTGTCCAAGTAAGTAAGCTAATACAACAAGCAAAAATTGCTCATTTCTCATCTTACAGTTCTATTTATCCCTCAGATCCATGGTTATTTAACTCATGTTGAGTCCTGATGATATTTTTATGGTGAAACAGTGTCTCTTAAAATATTGTCTTAAAGAAAATGTTAATTTTAAGGGGCTTGCTATGCCTTCATTAAGGACTTTGGTGATCTGTGCTGAAATCATTCACTCACTCACTCACTCATCCATTCAACAACCATTTATTGAATGCCTAGGCTCTGGGCATGTTCTAGGCATTCTGGATTCAGCAGCAAACAAAAAAGACAAAGATGCCTGCCCTCACAGAGCTTGCATTCCAGTGGGAAATTCAGACAGTAAACAAACAAGCAAAACCCATGTTGTGTTACCCAGAGGAAATACGAGAAAGAACAGAGAGGGACAGCGGTGATGGGGTGAGCATGGTAGTGTTGTCATTTTAATCAACAATGTGCTAGCCCTTCCAACATGTATTTAAACAACAAGTCTTGCATTTTTACCTTAGGGATCTAAGCCCAGACAATATTTTTCTGTAAAAGTGACTTCTGTGATCTTCAACCAAGATTTAGATGTGCACACATTAATAACTTACATATGAAGATAAATTCATTAATGTGCTAGCTGCTGTGTCTAATTGCAGCTCTAATTAAAAGGATACACTTCAACAAGGTCATAAAGATATACCTTTTTATTCTGGGTCCAACTCGTCAAGCTTCTACTGACATCATGGCCCTCACTCGAGTAAATTACCATTGCCAGAATTTCCTGTATAAAATGTGGTACAGAAAACACAGTCCACATGGATCTCAACGGACTGGTTTTCTAAAGAATCACTCAGAATAAAGCTCCTTTCCTCATAGAATTGAGGTGAGCGCAGTTAAAGGGCTGCAATACTACTCTGGATTACTCAGGCAACTTGTACACAAAGAGTAATTCATACAGGATTGGGGGTACTTTTCTAAGTACACAAGATGATTAACGGATACTGGGACACTCTCAGGTAAAGCTGAGGAACCCTGCATTCCGAGGTCCCTGCCAAAATGACCTATTATTAATAGAATGAAGTTGTTTCTAGTTGTTCTTATTATATAATGTTAATTTTACAGAGGTCTTTAGTTAGAGTTAAAACAAAAGGATAGCTTATAATAATGATCAACTAAAATAAATTTAAATATCCAAAATTCATAAAATCTTAGAAGTTTATTATTTTAGGAAATCAAGAGTGACTATATTTGGTGACTCAAGGATGGCTGCTTTATTTCACACTGGATGCTATATACTCTACTTTGGAAATCCTTATAGAACACTCAGTTTAAATAAAAAATATAATTTGGCAATTCTTTTATGCAAACTAGGACAACTAGTTTGCAATATAGATGCATTTTATATCTGGCTACTTTTGCATTTATATCTGGTTTTTTTTGGGTTTATATCTAGTTATTTTTTTTAACATTTATATGTTTCTTTTCCCCCAAGCGTTTTTTTTTTTTTATTGTGGTAAATATATCTGTAACAAAACATTTGCCATTTCGACAGTCTTTACAGTGACACTAATTTTGTTCATCATGTTGTTCAACCGTGACACCTAACACCAAATTCCTCACCAGGACTGGCTACATACTTTGCAGGGCCCAGTACAAAATGACCATGTGGGCCCCTGGTTGCAAAATGATCAACAATCTCAAGATGATGAGAGCAGAGCATTAAACTGAGCTTGGTGACCTGTGTGTGTGTACAGGTCACACACCCATGAAGCTGACCCTGTTCCTGATACATTAATATTCTGGTGAAAGTTCTAAACTAGCCCCTAAACACTACAAGATAAGAGGGTATACTGAGGAAACACTGGTGACTGTCTTGATACATTTTTAATTATGCTGACTAAAGCCTCTGAAATATTATCCTGAGCTCTTCCAAGCCAGATAAAACTAAAACAATTTATGGTATTTTTGTTTTTTCCTCTCCTAGAAAGTACTTTATGACCCATATACCTTTTGAGCTTTACAAGACGTTTTGAAAATTCACTGCATTAGAAATGTCTAGAGACACATTAGCTATTTTACCTTCTTCATGACCAAGCTGCTTATTTTTAGCCCTCTTCCTGGCCTCTATTTTATCCGTGTCTGCATTGACTGCTTCATACACAGTTTCCGCCACTTCCTGCTGCCAGCGTTCCGAGATTACCAACGGGAAATTCTTGTAGAGTTCTTGGTCGCAGTCAAGAAGCTTATATTTTAAGAAATCAAGATATTTATGATTTAACATACTTACAGAGGCAAGAGATTCAAAAGCACCACATGCATGAGAATGGATCACAACTCTACACAGGAGGACAATTAAACAAGGACGTATAATTCTTTGTTTTTGGTGGAGTTTTTGGGTGCTCTTGAGTTGGTTCCAACTCACAGCAACCCTACAGGACAAGAGTAGAAATGCCCCATAGGCTGTAATCTTTATGGAAGGAAATTGCCAGGTCTTTTCTCCCACAGAACTGCTGGTGGGTTAGAACCGCCAACCTTTCCATTAGCAGCCAAGCACTTAACCACTGGGCCACCAGGACTCCTTTACAATCATTCAGAGATAATTTATCAGTTGTCACAAAGCTTACCAATGACAACTCAAGCAACCAGGGTCCACGAATGATCATAATTGACGAGCACTTCATTTCAGTAAAAAGGCTGAAAATGTCAGAACGATAATCTGGCAACAAAAGCTTATTGAGGAAAACATCCTTCAAGGGACAGTCAAGGATCCCTTGGGTTCAGCCCAATACCCTATAATATCTTTACTATATTTTTGGCAATAAAAACTAACACATAGGGTTGTACTTGAGACACTTAAACATTTCTGAATCAACAAAATAAAAAATCAGTTATCGTCAGGATTATTTATTTATGAAAGTAAGAAAATAGATGCCTATAACTTTAGACAGTATTACAAGGGAAAAGCCAAGAGGGCTTTCTAACCTAACTTTCAATTGATCTGAAATGTTAGGGGGGAAAACGAGGCTGAATTTATGATTCCTTCCTTGAGCCTTCCAACTGATCAAAGTTTAACAGTATAATCATATGTATAATAACATAAAGCTCAATCCACATGGAGTTAAGTCAACTTAGTCTTTGTGTTGCTAAAATAAAAACTACACTTAATGATAGTATTTCTCTTCCAGAATATACTCAAAATTCTTCATTCTGCCCCTTAAGCGAGGCTGAACTTTGAAGAATAGCAGAGAAAATGGTTTTAAGCATCTGAGCTACAATTTTATGGCAGAAGTGCTGGCAACCCTACTGACCTAAATTAACATGTCTCTCAGAAACACAAATCTCGTTAGAGACTTGATTAGCTCACTCCTTGCCAAGAGAAAACCAGGGGGTAGGTATTATAACTGGCCAGTTATTGAGAGGGAAAAAGAATAAAGGGGTGAAGGCACTCGCCCACAGTTGTACAGCCAATCAATAAAACCCAGAAAGACATCCCAGGCCCCAATCAGAAGTGTTCTCCAGCCACTCTTATCGATCTGTTATATGAATGTGTCAACTTTGAGATCGCTTTTATTTGTCCCTGGGTGGTGCAAACAGTTAATACACCTGGCTGCTAACCAAAAAGTTGGAGGTGCGAGTCCACCCAGAGGCACCTCGGAAGAAAGATCTAGCAATCTACTTCTGTAACACCAGCTACTGAAAACCCCACGGAGCACAGTTCTACTCTGACACACATGGGGTCACCATGAGTCAGAGTCAATGTGACAGCAACTGGTTTTTTACTGGTTTTATTTGTAGAGCCTTCCCCCCTTTCAATTTTCTTCAGATGCCCAAACTAAGCCCGTATTTAAAATCCTCAGATGTTCTGAATGTGACCGGAGGGGTGTGTGGGTGTGTGTGTGTGTGTTTGTTTCATGGGCCTGAGGCCTGACAGGCGCCTCTGAAAAGGGCCACTAGGCAGAGTCTGAAGAGACCGACCAGGGCAAAAACGCGGTCTTTTCCAAGGTAGTTGTTCTGAAATGGACAACGCTGGCTTTATATAAAAACTATTATACTGTGTATAATTTCAGAAAACCTTGATCTTTAGGACCCCACCTATGTTGTTAAAAATGAACAGAACAAAGAAGAGGAGTTATGTTTCCATGAAGTGAGGTTGCTATTTTCCTTTGTGATATTTTTAAAGACCGGTGTATTATTTGGGCTGCTTCTTAAAGATTAAGAATAGGCTGTTGTTGTTTTGTAGCTGTTGTTAGCTGCCACTGAGTTGGCCCCCGACTCATGGTGACTACAAGCACAACGGAATGATATGCTGCCTGGTCCTGTGCCATCCCTATGACTGGCTGCGGACTGAACTATTGTGACCCACAGGGTTTTCACTGGCTGATTTTCATAAGTCACCAGGCCTTTCCTCCTAGTCTTAGTCTGGAAGCTTTGCTGAAACCTGTTCAGCATTGTATCAACACACAAGCCTCCACTGACCATGGGTGATGGTTACATAAAATACAGTTCCCCAAGCTTGACTAAAGCCATTCCTGTGGTCAGGACCTGGCTCTTCATTCACAGCTGTAACCCTGCCACAAACTCCTTGTTTTAATCAGGGCTTCAAACTGGTTTGAATGGGTTCAGCCATGGACGATAAAGAGAAACTAGAAGATACCTCAATTTTTCTAATTTGGGTGATCTGGAATGGCAACCAAGCAGGAAAAATTATGGGTTGAAGTCCTGGAATGGGAGACTTGCAAGAGGCGTAGCAAGCCCTTTCAGGAGCCTGATGTGTGAGACTGGATTACCGGCAGGACTGTGGGGAGCAACACACATTCAAAGTGGCGCGGTCAGCCACCATCTTTGAGGAGGGCACCACTATTTCCGACTCTACACAAAATTCTTCAGGCAAGAGATTTGGTTGCTATGCCATGCATATGCTACCCTTGTTTTCCAAGAGCAAGATTAAGTTTCTAGCAGGGCTCTGACCCGTAATTTTTCCCATTCCAGTTCACTCAAATTTTAAAAATTTGGGTCTGTTCTGGTGTTGCTTCCTCGGCCATGCCTGAACCAGGCAGAACTGTGTCCTTTTTCTGAGCTCTGATTCAGGAAGAACCAAAACCACAATAACAGAAGCTATTAGTTTGTTAAGCATTGACTATAAGTCGGGTGGTTAAAATAGTTGTCTCATTTATCCTCACAGAAGTCCTGTCAATAAAACTACCCATTTTACAGGTGAAAAAACCAAGGCTCACGAGGCTACATAAACAGCCCAGTAGTAAGTGGCAGATATGAGCACGGTCTGTCTGATTCCAAAGCCTAGATATTAATTTACAAAAATTTAAAGTATGAGAATCTCATTTTAGCATCAAAATTTTTTGTGCGCACCTACATAATAGTAGTTTCATTTTTAGTACCCATTGATGGAAAGTTAGTACATCTAATGATGAAATTCTATGGTGACAGCAGTAATCCTTCTAAATAACCTTGTAGATGTATTACTCCCTGAAACACTGCAATACTGTAGCACTTACACACCTGAAACATACTGTTTGTTCGGGCTACAGACGATGTTTAGTGGGTATGCAGATCTGAATATGGGTCATGCTAACATTCCCATGGGACTGCCGCTGTTCTGGACTGTAGAGGGCATCTCTGCCTGGGCCAGCTCTCCTCCACAACCCTGGGACCTTGCTTCTCTCCACTGTGTGCCTTTGCCTAACCTCCTCCTCCTGGGAAGCTGCTCCTGGGAACACCTCAATCACCCACACCCTGCTGCTCCTTCTCTCTGACACTGTCCGTTCTACCCCACCACCCACTTCTTTCCCCAATTCCCACCTTAACTTGCTGCTCTCAATACCTGTTCTCCATCCCAGAAATCTCCAACTTTTCCTCCTGCCACTTTGCCACCATTTCTGTCCCCATCACTATCTGGTTCCAGCTCTGCGTGTTTCAAGTGCTTCCAGTTATAGCTCCTGCTAGGCCCCTGCATTTTATGTTGCTCTTTTAACTACATCTTGCAGATATGCTTTTTAATAGTGTTGCCACCTTTTGGAGGTGATTGAAGCAACTTGAGAAAAATGAAGGAAGCTTATTAAGAGGTCCCTGAGTGGTGCAAATGGTTTGACCTTGTCTAAAGGAGCCCTGGTGGCGCAATGGTTAAGCACTCAGCTGTTAACCAAGAGGCTGGCAGTATGAACCCACCCAGTGGCCCCATGGGAGAAAGACCTGGTGATCTACTCCAATAAAGATTACAGCCTAGAAAACCCTGTAGTGCAGTTCTACTCTGTCACATAGAGTCGCTATGAGCTGAAACTGACTCAAAGACATCTAACAGCAATAACAACTAAGTAAAAGGTTGGCAGTTTGAACCCACCCAGTGGTGCCACGGAGGAAAGGCCTGGCGATCTGCTTCTGTAAAGATTACAGCCAAGAAAACCCTATGGGGGTAGTTGTACTCTGTAACATAAGGGGTGGCCGTGAGTCAGAACTGACTCAAAGGCAATGGGTTCTGTAGGTAGGGTACAAATGCAGGCAGCTGAGAAGAGAGCGAGGGGATTAGGAGGGAGTGGGAGAGTCTGAGGTAAGTAAACTGTGAAAGTGGGGGAGACACGAGCTTGACATGTAGTGATACAATCTGACTTAGCATCCTGAAGAGGATTATTTTCTCTTATGACTCACCATCTCTAATTATGCCTTGTCTCTACTTGGAAAAAATAATGACACGAACAAAAGTTTGAAAAATGCAAAGGATTATATAAAAAAACAGTGATTATTGCACCTTTGATTGACAAATGCAAAATGATTCCTGCTGTTTGCTCTTTTCATCCTAGAATAGAGAGGTGTCTCCAAAGAATTAAGATGACTGGCTCTTTCACACTGGGTGAGGGACATCTGATATCATAGCACTGTGGGCTTTTCTCCCCTTACTTCATATACATTCGAGTCTTATTTTAACCACAAATATTCCAAATCAATAAACACTTGACCATTGTGCAGTTTACTGAAAATGAAATTATCAGTCCAGAGAAAGCTTCCACTGTTTCTAAATAATACAGGTTTTTGACATATACATCTTCAAATATCTAGATATCCATTTGTAAGTTTTATTCTACAAGTAACCCAATACTAAGACAATCATCAGGTTTAATTGATTTTCAACAGAAAATCTACCCTCCCACTCCCAAAAAAGGAAAACGTCCCACGTGTACCTTAATGCCTTTCGTGTCCTCTTCATCAAATGAACCGATATCAAAGGCATCAGCGGCATTGACTTCTCCACGGGGAGGAATCAAAGGTGGAGGGTACTGGAAGACCCAAAAAAGTATGGGACAGTTATCAGATGTCCCTTACAACTCCATCCCAACCTAACATTCCATAAAAACAACACAGTACACGGTATCAACAAGCTCCACTCTGTGCAGCATTTCATTTAAGCTTACACAAATCACATTACCTATTTCATGTAAGTGCTTTTGCATTGAACACACCCCAAAGGAAGACCTCAAATTTTAGAAAAATTTAAGGAAAAAAAAGTGTCCAAATATCTTAAATAACTATCAGATATAATGAAGTCCCCAAGACTGCATATTTCCAAATTTCGACTTCTAAAAAGCACATTCTTTCAGATGATGCTAGAACCATAAGGCTTAAGGGGGTCTGAATGGAGCGCTCTAAGCCTGGCAAATGCCCTGAGCTTGAGGCTAACTAAACCAGAGCTTTAACTCTTAGGCAGGCCTAACAGATTAGTTTCTCTTTCCTATAAAAAAATCATCATTCATCTATAGCTTGAGTTCAGACAAAAATGATTCCAAAGTTGATAATCTACAATTGAAAAAAAACTAACCTGTGGTGTTTACCTGGTATCAATAAGAATATTAAAAACAATTAAATAAGGAAAGGGAATTAGGCTAATATAAAATCATGCAAATTCTCAAATTACCTGGTACTGGCCTAGAAAATATATGTAAGTTTATGACAAAAGTCTTCTTATGTTTTTATATAGGCCTATGAAAAAACACAGTCACAGGTACTGAGATAAGAATTCAAGAAAATAAGCTAGAACTAAAAAAGTTTCAATTACATAGATATTTGAATTAGCTAGATAACAGCTCCATTTCACCAGGCATTACTTTATATAGAAGATATTTTAAAAATGTTTATATTAGGGAAATGAAGTGGGGTGGTTTCCCCAAAGGGAGTTCAGCACACAGTGGCACTTGGGCAGAAGGGACCCACAGCAGGGACTGTTGGGGAGGGAACACAGAGAAGAAGCCAGCAGCGTGGAGACAAGGAAAAGAGAGCACAGAGGTGAAGTGAGCCCCAGATAGAATACCTTTTGTAAGTAGACATGCTGCCAGTCAATGCCTTGGAAAAAGCAATGCTTTTTTACTTCCTGTGCACTGTAGACAAGAGAAAGAGTCATAACAGTTTAAGTATGCATTTGTAAATGTAAGAAATGCTTTGCAAAACTTGCCTGCATTAAGAATATAGAACTGTATTCTGTCCACTTATATATGACACACAGTTAAAAGTTGTTTCTTATAAGAAGCAAGCCTGGAGGTGGAAAGAAAAGCAAGCCCGAGGTAGGGAGAAGTAGGAGAAAAGCCTGTTACAAGCCCTTCTCTATAAACTTTCCAGATATTACTGGGGTTTGGGATTTTTTGTTGTTGTTGTTGTTAGGTGCCATCAAATCTACCTAGACTCACAGCAACCCCATGTGACAGCAGAACTGCCCCAAAGGGTTTCCTAGGCTGTATTACTGGAGCGGATCCCAGGTCTTTTTTCCAGCAGAGCTGCTGCTGGCTTAGAACCCAACGACCTTCCAGTAAGCAGCCAAGTGCCAATCACTGCATCACCGGGGCTCCTTGATCAGGACATTAAACTGTGAAAATTACAAATGCAATCATTACTGAAACTTAACCAAATGGACTATGAAATATCAGAATTCGACTCCATCATCTACAAGGTAGATTTGTAAAGTTAAAGTTAGAAACGTCTTCAACTTGCTAATTATAAAACACAGAGGACAATATACATATATTTCCCATGTGATTTTTTTTTCTGCTACACTCTAAATTGAGATTTCTAAGGACTAAGGGAATTATTTTTGATATATTAAAAAAAAAAAAAAAAAAAAAAAAACTGTTTCAATTTTAGGGTAAAAGTCCTGAAAGGTAGAAACAATAGCCTACCCGCCTCCATGGCAGCCAAGTCGTTTGCTAACATCTCGCTGAAGCAAGGCTTCCAAAAGGGATGTTAATTCAGGGGAGAATGTATCCGGAAGTTCCACATTCTGGGGAAAAGAAAAGCAAAATCTCAAAAACCCATTCCTGGAAACAACGCTTTCACACTCAATCAGATTTAAATGTCATTCCTTGGATAAGCATAGTATTCACAATTGTAGATGCATCAAGAAATAATATTTCCTCTAATGAAAGAGAATTAGGTTACTAATCACTCTCTAAATCAATCAACAGGCTGGGTGGGGCTGGGTTACCACTCTTCTGCATCTCAGTATTTTCTCTTTTTATTTGATTTCTTTAGTTTTGTTTAGTTTTCTAAATCTTTCTCACACTGTTGGGGAGTAAATCTTGATTTTTAACCTTGGCATCCATTTCCATTAATTATTCTCTTAGAAATTCTTGTAGGAACTATATCTTCATGCATTTATTTCAACAAGCAATTTTTACACTGCTTATAACAGAAGGAAACATGGAAAGTATTCCGTCAATATAATAAGAATGTAATTTTAAATCCCCTTACCACAGTAAGTGTCATTCGGTCTATTTCATGCTTATCTTTGGTTTTATGTTGTCTGAAAGGGCTGTGGCTGTAGAAATAAAGAACATTCCATTAAAACATGACATCAGGTAATTTAACACATGCCACTGACTAATATCTGGGTAAAGTATTATATTCTATCAGAGCCTTGGTGGCACAGTGGCTAGGAGCTCAGCTGTTAACCAAAAGGTCAGCAGTTGGAATCCATCAGCTGCTCCTTGAAAATCCTAAAGGATAGTTCTACTTTGTTCTATAGGGTGGCTATGAGTCGGAACTGACTCAACAGCAAAGGGTTTGGTTGTTTTTTTTTTTTTTTTTTAATTAGGCTCTATCACTGTTCATTTGAGCCTATAGAAATACCAAAGCCATAAACATTGATCATTTCCAGAGAACAAATGGTGATCAAATATATTAGGTCCTGAAAGACTTAAATCTTATTTGAATTGCCTGATCCCTCATTTAAATGAAATTGTGGCACTAAAAATAAGCTTTTCTAATTAAGATAGCATTAGAAAAAAATTTAATTAGTCAACAGATAGTCATGAAAATGAAAGTCAGTTACATAAAACTTGTCTTATTCTACACAAACCACAAGTTCATCTACCCCGAGACCAGAAAAACTAGATGGTGCTCAGCTATCAGTGCTGACCATTCTAATCAGGGCCACAAAAGACGGACCCTGATAGAACGGGAGAAAAATGTGGAAGAGAACTGTAAATTACAAAACAGACTTCTGAACTGGTTGAGTCTGGAGGATTCCCCGAGACTACGGCCCCAAGACACTCTTCAAACCATGAACCGAAACCAACCCCTGAGGTCAGGTCACCTTGTAGCTAAATAACAGATTGGCTCACAAAATAATAAGTATCACCCATGAGTATTGTGCTTCTTTAAAAAATCACCTATATGAGACCAAATGGTCAACAACTGCTTTAAAACAAAGATGAGAATGTACGGGGGCAGGGAAACTGGGTTAATGGAAACTGACTAACCAGAACGGAAATAATGAGAATGTTTACGCATTGTGAAGAACATAAGCAATTTCACTGAACAACATGTGCAGAGATTGTTGAATGGGAACCTAAACTGCTATGTGAAAATTCACTAAAAACACAATAAAACATCATTAAAAATTTTTTTTGTCTTATTAGCGTTTGAACTAACAATAACTTTCATACAATTATATATTTTCAGCAAAACGGATCTTACTCCCTTCAAACAACCCAAGGAAGGTGATCAAACCAAAACCTTACCAAGATGGACATAATTCCCCCTCAGCCCCACAGAAATCAATAAAGAAATCAGTAATTTTCAATAATACATTCCTTTGATGATAACAGGTGAACAAACCATATGCCACCAGACCCTTCAGAGTTCAGAGCATTGCTATTTCATACTATACCAATGGAGAGTTCCAGAGCTGGGTTCCAGTGACTTGGCTGCTTATTGGCTATTTAACTGTAAACCAGTCATGGAAACCTTCAGAATCAATTTCTTCAAAGTCCCTGGGAAGTGCAAACTGTTAAGGCTGCTAACCAAAACGGTAGAGGTTTGAGCAAACCCACAGGCTCCTCAGAAGAAAACCCTGGCAATCTACTTACAAAAACTCAGCCGCTGAAAACCCTCTGGAGCACAGTTCTATTCTGACACACATGGGGTTTCCATGAGTTGGAATTGACTCCATGGCAATTTTTTTTTTTAGATCAATTTCTTGCTCTGTAAAATGGGATAATGCCACATACTTCACAGAACTGTAGAAAGGAACATCCAAAATAATGTATATGTGAGTAGCCAGGACTATGCCAGTATCTAGTAGGTACCTAATAGAGTAGTTATTTCTGAGATTAATAAAGATGCAATAACACTTTATAAAATCAATGAACACTTGGCAAACTATATATAAGATAAATAATTCTTACTCTTTACCATGTTGTTAGCATTCTAGGGAAGCTGGCTTTTAAAGGAAACCTTATCATTAAATGACACTATTAAACACGCAAAACAGAAAACCATGGCCTTATTTATTTGAAAACTCAAGAAAGGATATATATATCATTGAGTGTTCTTACAGTGAGACCTGCCCAGAAAATGACTAATCCTACGAATTTGTTTATAAGGCATATATAATAAAATCTGCAGCAAGGTATTTTGTAAAACATTTTGCTGTTAACTCCGTACAGTGGATTAGAATGCTGAACATACAAATCAATGAGATTAAAAAAAGAATGAAAAGTCCATTTATCACTGCACTGCTATTTACTACTAGTGGTCTGGCCATTGCCCTGAATTCCTTAAGCTATGCACTGAGTCATCTCTTGAAGAGATTATTACATGTCAGAGCACTTACTGTCTTCAGTATTTTAATTTTCTTTTTGTACAAGAGAGGGCACTCTAATGCTTTATTTTCTTCCGTATCACACAGTGAAGTACAAAGTAATTTCCACCTCTTGGAAGCATTCTTTTGAGGGGGAGTCAAAACATAGTGAATTAGGGTGGGCGAGGCAGAGGGATGGGTTGACGGAGGATCATATGGTTAAATGAAGCCAAATGCCAGGTAGAAGTGCTGTTTTGGGTGCTGGGTGTATGAGTACTTGTTAAAAAAACAAAAAACAAACCCACTTCCATTGAGTCAATGCCGATTCATAGCAACTCTATAGGACAGAGCAGAAATGTCCCAGAGGGTTTCTAAGGCTGTAATATTTACGGAAGCAGACTGCCATATCTTTATTCCCTGGAGAGGCTGGCATGTTCAAACCATCAACCTTTTGGTTAGCAGGTGAGTGTTGAACCACTGTGCCACCAGGGCTCATTATGAAAACTTGTTATAGTATTAAAAATAAATAAATAAAAGTAGGAAAAAAAAAATCCAACAAGGTAAAGTAGCACTAAACAAGCAGATACTAATCTTTAAGACAGATTTTGATTGGAAATATTCCTTTCACCTTAATTGTTTCCAAGGAGAAAAAATGTACAATTACTGCATTTAAAAAGCAAACAGAATACAAAAAAACAAACATTAGCAACTTATCAATTTGTTATTTATAAGATATTATAATTGAAAATACTTATCATACTTGTATCATTCTCTTTTATGCAAAATACACACATACATTAGCATGTTTACAGCTCAAGAGAAAAGGAAAAAAAGTTTGTTAAATCTTATTTAAACCTTAGTCTCTCTCCTTGACACTAAGCTGTTTCCACTCCACCATGTTCGTTAATGTAAATCAGTTGCCATTGAGTCCATCCTGACTCATGGCGAGCCCGTGTGTGTCAGAGCAGAACTGTGCTCCAGAGGGTTTTCAGTTGCTGATTTTTCAGAAGCAGATTGCCAGACCTTTCTTTTGAGGCACTTCTGGGAGGACTCAAATTTCTAACCTTTTGGTTAGCGGCTTAGCACGTTAATCTCTTTAACCTATAAGAAGGGATTAAGTATGAAGACCTCCTTGCTTTTCAGCTCCTGAGTGCACAGCCAGCAGAGCCCACTCCTGCTCTTGACCTCAGGGAACTTGGCCCAACTGATGCCAGAAGGAAAGGGCTGGGCCTGACACTTGTAGAGAAGGACTGCTGTGTTCAGACAGAAATGCTCTATGCTGTATTTAAAAAGTCTTTCATGAGACCAGAGGGAGGCTTGCAAGGGGACCGGAGTTAAACATAGTGGTGCCAAAAACATTCCCAGCACGTGGGCCCTAGCACTACAAATCCCATTTTATAAATATAGCTTATTCCATGTCTGACTCCATAAGAAACCATCGGAAATGCTCTTCAGCTATTCATTTCTAGGCTGCAGTGTTGAAAAGGCTTGGTCTTTCCAGTGAAAATCTTGATGCACATCTGCTTCCAATGTATTCTTGATTATTCTTTGTGAACAAAACTAAAGATACTGTTTCTATTTCGGAAAATGCTAGCAAAAACCTACAAGAGTGATGATCTCCATTCTGAGGGAGGCACGTGGTGCGTGCAGCCCCTGTGTGATCACAGCTGCTCCCTGATGCTGCCCCTTAAATAGAAGACAGCAACAGGCCTGTTGACAGCTCCCCACGAGAAGCCAAGCTCTCCAACAGCACAGGCAGCATTCTGACTGCATTAGGGAATGGTGGTGGGAACAAAATACACATGTGCAATGGTCAGCTGCAGCTTTCTGTATGATATACAGAGGGGAAGACCGGAAAATTTAGAAAATCCTTCAAGATGTGATAAATTACGGAGAAACACATACACATTGTTGCTGTGTTGTTGGGTGCTGTCGTGTTGATTCTGACTCACAACGACCCTACAGGACAGAGCAGAACTGCCCCATACGGATTCCTATGCTGTAATCTTTACAGGGGCAAATCACAAGTCTTTCCTCCCACAGAGCTGCTGATGGGTTCAAACCACTGACAGTTCAGTTAGCAGGCAAGCGCTTAACCATTGCATCACCAGGGCTCCTATACACACACTAAACCCATTGTCGTCGAGTCAATTCCAACTCATAGTGACCCTATAGGACAGAGCAGAACTGCCCCACAGGGTTTCCAAGGAGAGCCTGGTAGATTCGAACTCCTGACCTTTCAGTTAGCAGCTGTAGCTCTTAACCACTGCGCCACCAGGGTTTCCACACACACATTAGATATCCTAAATTCACAGTGAAACAATGAATTCAAAAACAACACATCTATAATTACAATTGACTGAAAACTCTCACATCAAAAATTAATTTTACAATAACAAAAAGATGGCATGTTACACAAAATATGCATTTTGAACATAAGCTAATAGCTGCCAAAATATTTATAAACATTTCCTTTTTCCCGACATGGGGCAAACTCAACTGAATCACCTCAGGCAGAGAGCTCAGCTGTCCTCAGAGCCACATCTATGTGGGCACCAGCCACCACATTAGCTCCCTCCCTACTTCTGACACCTCCAGGGATAGACAAGCAACAGTAAAAAGCTCCAGATCAAGACTATTGTCACATCAATTCTTCCCTTGTCACATAAATTATTTTCCTTAACATACATCTTAAATCTAGATTGAGGATTATGATGACAACCCCATACATTTGC